TATGGCTCAAACCTATACCTGTCCTTGTATTAGGTGGCTGGTCAAACCTTACTTTCGTTGGGGGTTCTTTTTAATTTGTTAAGGGACCGGGACATGCAAGTGCATCAATTGAAACAACGTGCACTCCATATTTGACCTTAATTGGTCCCACAATTGAATCAAGGGTAATTGATTGACTAATGCAAAATTCAACCTCGAAACCAAGAGCCAGTTTTATTTTAATGTTTTCAATTAGTTACAGTGTATTTTACACGTCTTACTTTTCAAATTAAATGTGTTAAATTAGTTTTTTCAATGGGAACGGATCAAAAATATTGGCGAGGAAAAAGTCTCGTTATAATAAGAAGGAAAATTATGCACGAAATATTCGAAAAGAAGCTAATTTAATGTTTTACAAATAGTGGTATTATGTTCACAAGATATTTTTAATAATGTGAACATTATATCCCGAAGTAAAAAGGAAAATGAATGTCAACTTTGAAACCATTGTTGTAAAACCTATAGTAAATGTGGTTGTCCATTACTCTTATTATTTTTATCCATGATATAAATAATCTCCCACTACTCATTACTATTATGATTGTAGCTCGCACACCTCTATAATCTCTCCCCATGATCTTAATCCATGATCTCAATAGTTAATGTCATGTTTAGGACAATTATTTTGTAACCTTCCTATGCAATAGTATAAATAGAGGCATGAAATGTGAGATGCTACACTATGAAATAAGAAAGTTATCTCTTCTTCTTTTATTCTAGGCGAAATACATAAAATGCCACCTGAATTTGTATCCAAAATCTCTGTTACACACTTGTTGACCACAAAAATATTTTTAGACACTTAACCTTTCAAAAGTGAATCTATTACATACCGCTTTTGTATTTCACCACTCTTTACAAGTAAGTGTAATGTCACGCACCAATTGGATCTTAACACGTGGATTAACTAAGGGAATAAAAGAAAACACTTAAAAAAATCCATTTGCTTCATCTTCCCAAATACCCTTGTGAAGATCTCCATTACCATTACCACCCCCACTACAAAGACTCCATTACCACCCCAAATAGAGACTCCATTACCACCCTTGTCAAGAACCCCAGTCGGCTCTCCACCATCCAATCGCCTACTACCATAAATTTTTCAATTCACCGCTGCTCCGCCATCAATCAGCCATAGGTGCCGCTCGACAACATCACATTCTTTTGAAGAAAATGTTCCTTCATTGGCAACTTCCCGCAGTCCATGACACTATAAGCACAATATTCCTTCACCTGCATTCATTTTTCATCATCTATCCTTGAACCCACATCCACCTCTTCCATTAAAACGATATTTTCACACAATCCTTGCTTCATCATAGAACAAAGTCCAACGAACAGCCCTACTGCCTCATGTAATCGGAATAAACAGTGAAATATGCTGAATGTCTGGGATTTTTAGGGCCAAAATCTCTCTGATTTTCTGGAGATTTGTTTAATAAATAGATTTTTTCGAAAAAGGATGGAAGGAAATAAAGGAGAAAATATAGAAGAAATGGGAGAGGGAGGGAAGTTTTCTATGGTGAGATTTTGGATAAAAAGAAAAGGGAACAATTTCTCCATCGTTGCGAGATCTGGTTGTTTTGTTTAAGCTCTTGACGAAGTAGATGATGTTTTTAATTAAAAAAATAGAAAAATGGACATGTGTGGCATCCAGATGAGAGTTCACACATTTCTTTTCCTATTCACTCGCCTAATTTGTGTGTAAAACACGCTCTTGCCATATAATCAAAATGGTGTGTAACAGACACACTTTTGAAAGGTTTAGGTGTGTAAAAATATTTTAGTGTTCAACAGGTGTGTAACAGGGATTTGGGTACAAGTTCAGGTGGTATTTTATGTATTCTGCCTTTATTCTATTACTTATATTCTTGTTTTATATTGTTACTTTGACCTACATTTCTTAACACTTTATCACCACGAAGTTGAGCTCTTTTCATTGTTCAAATATATTTGTTCATTCTGTTTTCTTCGTTGTATATTTTGATTTCATGATTAGTGTCTTTAATATGCAGTTTTATAATTTCTCACATCTCTGAACATGTGTAAAAAAAATAAAGAATTCTATGTTTCTTTATTTTAACTTGTTTGCATGATTGTCACGTGAAACTTGGTATTTTTCATGTTAATATAATTAACTGAGAGATTAATACCTGTTTTATGTTGTTCGACATTTGAAATTGTGTTAGAGGCATACAAGAGAAGATGAAGGCGAAGGAGCCAAACCTCACATTTTCTCAAGAAGTGTTAGAAGACATTTTTGTTATAGTTAGCATCAAAGATATATTAATAATTTGAAAAAAGTAGTGTTCTTTTCTATAGAATTATCACTTTAGTGTATATAGATCACAAATTTGATATTATGTCAATTGTTTCTTTACGCTATTATCCTAATGATTTCTAATTATTTATCTTCTTTGATAGTTTTCACTATGTCGAATTTGTCAAAGCTTGAGTTTGTGGCACTTGACATTTCTGGAAAGAATTACCTATCATGGGTTCTCGATGTTGAGATTCACTTAGCCGCTAAAGGCTTTGGTGACACCATTACCCAGGGTAACGAGGCATCAAGACAGGACAAAGCGAAGGCCATGATTTTGCTTCGTCATTATTTGGATGAAGGTTTGAAGGTTGAATATTTGACAGTGAAAGATCCACTTGAATTGTGGACTGGCCTGTGAAGGGTATGATCACCTTAAGGCTACGGTATTGCCAAGGGATCAATATGATTGGATGCACTTACGGTTGCAAAATTTTAAGACCGTAAGTGAGTATAACTCTGTTGTATTTCGAATAACTTCCCAATTAAAATTATGTGGGGATGCTACGAATGATGAAGATTTGTTGGAAAAGACTCTTACGACTTTTCATGCCTCAAATATGGCATTACAACAACAATACCGTGAAAGGAGTTTTAAAAAGTATTATAAATTGATCTCATGCCTTCTGGTGGCTGAGAAACATAATAATCTTTTGCTGAAAAATCATGAAGCCCGGTCTACAGGGTCAGCTCTGATTCCTAAAGCGAATATGGTAGCGAGACATGATAAGTCTGGAAAAAGACAGAATAATTATCATGGCCATATGAATGTACGTGGGAATGGCAATGGCAAGAGACGATAAAATATTCGTCATTGTGGTGGTCATAGCAAACGAGAGAACAATATGGGTTCTCTAAATAATCCTTCAAGAGGCAAAATCGGTAACTATTACCATTGTGGCATGAAACGTCATTGAATAATTGAATGTCGTGCACCTGAGCATTTTGTCAGGCTTTATAAAAACTCCATTAAAAGAAAGGTAAATAATGTTGGAGCATCTTCTGCTAATGCCCCAGTGGAGTCTCACTTGACCTTTAAAAATGATTTTGAGGCAAGACCTTCAAACAAAAATGATGATAATGTCGAGGCAAATCTTGCTTTGAATGATGATGATTTTGAAGGCCTCGATGATCTTACTCATTTAGAAGTTGAAGAATTATTTGGGGATCAAAACTAAAGTTTGATCATTTTATTGGGGAATGCAATTATGTTATTATTTTTATTTTCAGTATTTTTTGTTGTCTCGTTCTAAAGTTATTTTTATTTTCAAGTAGTACTTAAGTTGTCTTATGTCTTATGTTGTTGGTGGTGGTGTTAGTTTTTCCGTATTTCTCATGGTGTACTTTTATTTTTTATGAAGAAAGTCAAAAATTTCAGACTTCAATTGGATCCAAAATGAGTAATGAAGATTTATGCCTTTTGGATAGTGCTACAACTCACACAATATTAAGAAAAAAGAAAATCTTCTCTTATTTGGTTATGAAAAAGGCCTATGTTAATACAATATCTGGTAGTACAAAATTAATCGAGAGCTCTGGAAGAGCGGCTTTATTACTACATGGAAGAACGATATTGACTATTAATAATACATTGTATTGTAGTAAGTCTCAAAGAAACTTGTTGAGTTTCAAAGCTATTCGCCAAAGTGGCTACCATGTTGAGACATCTAACGAAGAAAATGTTGAATACCTTTATATTACTACAATAAAAGCGGGAGAAAATGTGTGCACGAAAAATTACCCGTATTTTTTTCTGGGTTGTACCACACAAACATTGGTGTGGTTGAATCACATGCCATAGTAAATAAAAGGGTTAATACTTCAAATGATTTTATCATTTGGCATGTCCGGTTGGGCCATCCCAGTTCGAACATGATGCGGAGAATAATAGAGAATTCAAATGGGCTCACATTGAAGAACAAGAAGATTTTTCAATTTAAGGAATTATCTTGTGTTGCTTGTTCTCAAGGAAAATTGGTTATTAAACCATTAGCAACTAAAGTTATGATTGAATCCCCTGCATTTCTGGAACATATACCGGGTGATATATATGGGCCTATACACCCTCCATGTGGACCATTCAAGTATTTTATGGTCTTGATAGATGCATCTACAAGATGACCACATGTGTGCTTATTGTCAACTCGTAATATGGCATTTGCGAGATTGTTGGCCCAAATAATAAGGTTAAAAGCACAATTTCCAGATTATGCAATTAAGGCAATTTATTGTGATAATGTTGGTGAATTTACTTATTAGGCCTTTACTGATTATTATATGGCCACTGGAATAAAAGTTGAGCATCCGATTACTCATGTTCATACTCAAAATGGTCTAGCAGAATCGTTGATTAAACGCCTCCAATTAATAGCTAGACCAATGCTAATGAGGACAAAACTTCCCCTTTCAGTGTGGGGATATGCTATTTTTCATGCAATAGCACTTGAACGCATAAGGCTAACCAGTTATCATAAAGTCTCCTCATTACAGTTGGCTTTTGGTTGGGAGCCATATATTTTCCATCTAAGAATTTTTGGATGTGTAGTATATATTCCAATTGCTATGCGACAACGCACAAAGATGGGTCCCCAAAGAAGGTTGGAAGTCTATTTGTTATGAATCTCCTTCTATTATTAAATATATGGAACCTGTGACAGGAGATTTGTTTACAGTCAGATTTGCTGATTGTCATTTTAATGAATCAGTTTTTTCAACATTAGGAGGAGAAAATAAACAGTTGGAAAAAGAGATAGATTGGAACATATTATCTCTATCTCGTTTAGATACTCGTACAAATCAATGCGAACAAGAAGTTCAAAAGATCATTTATATGCAAAATATTGCAAATCAACTTCCAGATGCATTTACTAGCCTTCCATGGGTTACTAAATCGCATATTCAAGCTGTAAATGCTCCAATTCGAGTTGATGTCCCAGTGGGACAGTATGATAATGCAAATGAGTCTAGGCCATACTTTAAATGTGGTAGACCAATCGGTTCCAAGGAAAAAAATTCTCGAAAAAGGAAAGGAGCAAATGATCGAGTTGATCACAATGTGAAGGCAATTGCTCAAGAGGAGCATAAAGACATAACAATTAATAAGACCTTACATGAGGTTCTAGTACCTGAAAATGATGAAAATGAAGATATCTCAATAAGTTATGTCTCTACGGGAAAAAGTGGATCCAAAATAACGTTGTTGTTGACAACAGTTGAAGCAATGCAACAAGATAAGGATCTTGAGCCAAAATCTGTCGATAAATGTAGACGGATAAATGATTGGCCAAAATGAAAAATTGCAATTCAATCGGAATTGGCTTCACTCAAAAAACATAAAGTTTTTGGACCAATAGTCCGAACGCCTGAAGGTGTCAAGTCAGTGGGATACAAATGGATTTTTGTGCGAGAACAAAATGAGAAAGGTGAAATCGTAAGATATAAAGCACGACTTGTGGCACAAGGGTTTTCGCAAAGGCCTAACATTGATTATATGGTGACATATTCTCCTGTGGTAGATGCAATTACCTTCAGGTATCTAATAAATCTGCCAGTTCATGAAAAGCTTGATATGCGGTTGATGGATGTTGTCACGTCCTACTTATATGGCTCATTGGACAATGAAATTTTTATGAAAATCCCTAAAGGATTTAAAGTTCCTGAAGCACATAAAAGTTCATTCAGAAATTCTTATACGGATTGAAGTAATCAGGGATGATGTGGTACAATCACCTTAGTGAGTATTTGCTAAAGGAAGGGTACAAAAATGACCCTATTTGCCCTTGTGTCTTTATTAAGAGATCTAGATCTGAATTTGTCATTATAGCTGTGTATGTTGATGACTTGAATATCATTGGCACATCTAGAGAGCTTCTAAAGGCTGTAAAGTGCTAGAAGAAAGAATTGAAACGAAAGATCTTGGTAAGACGAAATTTTGTCTTGGCCTACAAATTTAGCATGTAACAAATAAAATTTTGTCCATCAATCAACATACACTAAAAAGGTTTTAAAGCGATTTTACATGGGTAATGCACATCCATTGAGTACCCCAATGGTTGTGACATATCTTGACATAAATAAAGATCCATTTCAACCTTAAGAAAATGATTAAGAGCTCGTTGGTGAAGAAATTCAATATCTTAAAGAAATTGGGGCACTGATATATCTTGCCAACAATACCTGACGAGATATTGCTTTTGCAGTAAGTTTATTAGCAAGATTAAGCTCCTCCCCAACAAGAAGACATTGGAATGGTGTTAAGGATATATTTAGATATCTTCGGGGAACTATAGATATGAGATTGTTTTATTCTAATAAATTCAAGTCAGAAATGATTAGCTATGCTGATGCAGGTTATTTGTCTGATCCACATAAAGCCAGATCTCAAACAGGCTATTTGTTTACATATGGAGGTACACTATATCATGGCGTTCAATAAAATAAACAATAGCTGTCACATCTTCAAATCATGCTAAGATAATAGCCATTCATGAAGCTAGTCGGAAATGTATTTGGTTGAGATTAATAACTCAACATATTCAAGAAATGTGTGGTTTTCTTATGAAAAACGATAATCCAACTACACTATATGAAGACAATGTTGCTTGCATTGCTCAACTGAAAGGAGGATACATTAAAAGAGACAGAATAAAACATATTTCACCAAAGTTCTTTTTCACGCATGATCATCAACAAAATGGTGAAATTAATGTTCAACAGATTTGTTCATGTGAAAATTTGGCTAATCTATTCACTAAGGCATTACCAACCTCAATATTTGAGAAGTTGAGACAGAAGATTGGAATGCATTGTCTTCGAGAAATAAAGTGATATTTTTATGAGGGGGAGTAATCCCTTAGCCTAGATTTTGTCCCACTGGGTTTTCCTGGTAAAGTTTTTAATGAGGCAGTAAATAAAACGTATTACAGATATGTGTACTCTTTTTCCTTCACTAAGATTTTTTTCCACAGAGTTTTTTCTTGATAAGGTTTTAACGAGGCATATTATTTATTTTTGGACATCCAAGGGGGAGTGTTCTAAAATATATAGTAAATGTGGATGTCCACTACTTTCACCCATAATGTAAATAACCTCCCACTGATCATCACTATTATGATTGTAACTCTCACACCTCCATAACCCCTTCCCATAATCTTTCCCCATGATCTCAATTGTTAATGACATGTTTAAGACATTCATTTTGTAACCTTCCAATGTAATAATATAAATAGAGGCATGAAATGTGAGATGGGACACTTGAACACTTGATGAAATAAGAAAGTTATCTCTTCTTCTTTTATTCTATTACTTATCTTCGTATTTTATATTGTTACTTTGAGCTACATTTCTCAATAGTGATGTGTTTTAGATTAATTTTCTTAATCCAACGTGTGTTTGTGTGTGAACATTATATCCCTAAGACAAAAAATTAATTTTTGAAGCTTACTCATATTATCTGCCAAAAATGCCTTACAATATTGTGCAAACAAAATAGCCTATTTCTATCCATCTTGTAACCGATATAGTGATAAGAATGTGCAGCCTAATAATTTTAAAAATAAATATTGCGACTCAACTATCAAGGTTTCAGAATATATATTTTATGTACGTTTACCCATAAAATGATAAAGTTGAAATTGTTACGTGATTAATAAACAAGCGAACTGATTTGATCCAAAATAATAAATAAATTAAATTAAAATAAGACCTAGCATTAAAATCGAAGGAAATGGCAGGCCTAGCTCCGGGAACGATGCTTCTGAGGGCAAAATTAAGAAGAATATCCAACAAAAAGTAAAGTTGTGTTATTTTGCTTGAGAACAAAGTATAGCATAAATTATAGTCACTATTTATAGCTATACATAGAAAATAAGATCCTAAGATCAAGCCCCTCTTACATGACAATAAAGAGGGTCATTGATGAATGTGCAACGGCAAGCCATGAATGCCAAAATTCTCTGCAACGGCTACCCATTTAATACTAGGGAATATTCTTCATTAAAAGACATATGGTGGCAAATATTTGACCTACTCCCATTGACTATGCTCCCTTCGGAGTCTATCCGATACCATCTGCAGTTGTTTTCCCCGGCCTTAATTCTTACTTGACTTATCTTTCGCCTGTCTTCGATTCCACGTGTCATGCTATCATTGGGTCATTTAATATAAACCAATCTTACCATATAAAAATAGTCCCCCTGCTTTCTGGTGGCACGTCTTTGTGTCATCAAGAAGTTGGTGAAGATTTCTTTCTTGGCGGAAAATTTTCTGAAACCCTCTGAGTAGTTTCTAACGCTTGATAAGATGCACGTCTCTTCGCATTTAATAATCTGAACACGTGTTGTTCCACGATTCAACAATATTTTTACCGGTTCTCGAGGTAATCATGACAATGATTTTAGCCGCCTCTACCTTTACTTATACGCATCATTTTACCTCTTTCATTTCTAACAAATTCTTAAGCTCTTTTATCCTTTTTGCACTTAACCTTCCTTCTACTTTCATCTCTCTCCGATCTTCTTCAAAAGACTCTATTATCTTCTTATTATTATGGTCTCTTTTACCAAATCTTTCAAAAATTCTAGTCTTCTCCTCGGTAGAGTCCAGAAGAAAAGCAAAGATAAAGAGGTTGATGCCGATCCTCCCGGTAAGCACCATCATACCTAAACACTTGAGCACCGTGAACGAATTCCAAGAGAAGTTCCCTTCTGCAAATCCTCAAACTTGGCATGTTAGCAGGTATCCTTCATTTATTCGCCCTTCCAGTATCCCTACTGTGAAGGATGAATGTAACTGTCACGACCTAAACATCATTGCTCCTGACCTGGTGGAGCGGGTTACCTTTACCAAGAAGGGTTTTACGTATGTTTATACGTACCCCTTTAGTTTAGGTCCATTTTCTTTGAGTGGGGGACTTGACCCCGTGATTTTGGAGTTATGCCATCGGTACCAGGTCTACTTGGCACAGGTAGGCCCTTTTATATGGCGAACGATGGCTTGTCTGCGCAAGATATTCACGGAGACGGGGAAAACCCTAACCTTGGCGCATATAATGAAACTTTACTCCCCCAAAATCTTCTATGGGGGAGTAGTAAATTTCAGCAAGTGTGGCCATCATGCTCTGCTTACCAACATGGATGATGACAATGACCGCGGGTATTTGGAGCGATTTGTCGTCATTGCTACTAGAGATATCACCCCGGCCACAACTCTATCCTTTCCTGAATCATGGAGTTGTCCACGTAAGTTTACAATCTACCCTTTTTCTCCACAAAAGGTTGTTCCATGTTATTTCTAACCCTTTTACTTCCGTTATTTCAGCTATTCGGTGGACACCACTAAGGGCTGAAGGCCTATACCAATGGGTTCAGAAGATTCTGGATATTACTACGCTAGATACACATCAAAGGAAGTAGTTGGCCCCCAAATACTGGTGGAAAGCCAAGAACCATGGTAAACTGATTTTTTCTACTTTCTGCCTCTTCATATACTTAAGCAAACTTCGCTAACCATATCTTTTATTTGATTCAAGACTCCTGCAAGATTCTGTTATCTACCTAGAGGTCGAGGTTTTGACCGATCCTACGGAGGCAGCAAGGTTATTGCATGAGGCTCTTACTCGGAGCGGTGCCCTCGAATCTTCCTTCAGATCAGGTGCTTCCTCCCATAGTCCCCAGCCAGAGAACAAGCAACCAAAAAGGCGTCGTTCTTCCTCGGTTGGGAACAAAAATAAGAAAATAAAGAAGGCCACGCCCGAGCCAGCCGCATCCACTATGGTCATCGATGATGAAAGGGAAGCCGGTGATGAAGAGGCTCCCCTTCAACAAAGACAATGATCTTTATCATCTCAACAAAATGCTCAATCTAGAAAGCTTAGAACCCCAACCGAGGGCGAGGTTAGAGTGCTCTAGGGAGAAATAGATTTAGTGGAGAATGTCGATTCTCCTTTTTCGGTCCTAGTTGTTGCTTCCGATCCTATGAGGTTGGATACCTGGACTCTTATGCCTTTGGTTGATGAGCAATCAATAATCAGAACTACCTCTTTTGCAGCTGCTTCTCAACCTGCAATATAATCAGCTTCATCTCCCTCCACTCCAGTTGTGCCTTCATCACCAACAACTATTATATCTCCTCAACCGGCTGCAGGCGCCCGAGAAGTGGATGTCTCCCCTCCCCAGTCCCTTGACCACGGGAATTTGGGGCACAACTACTTACCCCTTTCTCTAGATTCCCGAGGGAGGAGGAACGTCACTATCTCAGTTTCACATGAGTGCCATCTATTATCCAGGCCGGTAGAGCTTGCCAACTATCTGAAGTCATTGGCTTCAGAATAAAATACACTCTCTTTCAAGCGAATGTATACTGAATAATGTTATGCATAATTCGGCAACGGTATCGTACTTGTTATCTTACTATTTGTTTTTATTCATCTGCTATAATCGGGTTTCTAACTTCGATATATGTTTTGCAGGCCAACTTCCTCACTTCGGAAGGCCTTCAGAGACTGATCTTGATAAAGAAGGACTCATGTCTGAGCGGGATCAGCTGTTGTCACACCTCATTTTTCCGCGCCCGCGGGGCGCAGGGGAGTTTTTCCAATTAAAGGACAATCGAAGCGGGATTGGTTTAATTATTTCATAGTCGCCACTTGGGAGATTTAGGGTGTCCCAAGTCACCGATTTTAATCCCAAATCGAGGAAAATA